CCCATGACTACCGCCTCTTTAGCTTTTATGGTCTCTGAGAGATGCCTCAGGCGCCCTGAAACTCTAACCCACAATCCTTCTACTTCCTCATCCTTTGATTCCTTCTTGATGAGGGTTGATGTATATTGGTCATTGACATAGAGCGCAACCCCTCCCCCTTTTTTCCCCACCCTGTCCTTTCTGTACAATCTGTAGCTCCCCCCTCTCCCTGCTGGTGCAGCCTGTGCCCCTGCCAGCCTGCGCCCCGCTTTGGGCCCCACTGGTGCTGGCCCTGGGACACTGGTCCCAAGACATTGGGACACTGGACCCAAGAGGGTGGCCAGGGGGTGAGGCACCTGTCAAGGGGTGGGGCTACCCATGCAACCCTCGACAGCCTGCCAAAACAGGGTAAGCGGCCCTCCACCCAAAATAATTGCCCACCCCTGAACTAGATAGTACCATCTTTTAGTTCTCCTGTGCAACATGAGCAACTTAATAAGAAAGAAGAAAAATTCAGCAACCTGCATGCCATCAGACACCCGAAGTAAAAAGCCTGCTCCAGACTTTGAGTCTAATCTACACACTTGCAGAGCAGCTTTTGTTTTTTTATTTATTTTACAAATGAACTTTGGGACCAATATGAGTTTCATTTTTACCTGGGAGAAATTTTACCAATCTTGTAATTCTCCTTTGCCTGATGAACAATGTTTGGGCCTGAAAGCCCGCAAATAAAGAATTTTTTTCACTTATCTAGTTGGTCAAATAAAAGATAATCACCTCTACCCCAAGAGTTTTGTCTGCCTATGCAAATTACTTGCACTCAACAGCAACATAGTGAACATCTCACGAATGTATTCAAAACCTATACCTAAGGATCTAGCAAAATCATGACGGAAGTGCACTGCGCAATGAATCTTTTTAATTTACTCATTTCACAGCTCACCCCCCTTCCTGCTCCCGTTGCCCCCAACTGGTGGTGGGGCCTGGAGGCCCCACTGCTAATTGGATGGGAAGCAAAAACTGCAGCTTTAGATATGCCGTGTTTTTTGCCTCCTGTCGCTAATTGTCTGAGGCAAAATGAGCAAGATTAAAGGACCCACTCACTGCGCAGTGCACTTCCACACAATTTCGATAGGTCCCCACCTATACCCCAAGATCCACAATGAAACAGGCATGGCAATTGCCTAATTTGGGGTCAAAAGAATTTTTTCCACTGGGCAGATTGGTATGCACTATGGTTTTTTGCTTCCCCTTCCTCTATAGCAGGGGTGTCAGAGTTGATCCATAGACCAGATCACAGCCCTCCCACCCCCCAGCCAGGCCCAGAGTACATGGCACCTACTCTGGGATCCGAGCCACATGCAGCAGCCCCCAGCTTGGGACACAGATGCCATGTGCACTGCTCAGCCACAGAATGGCTGGAAAGGATGCCGCATGCAGTGTGTGTCCTGGACGAGCTGGGTGCAGGTGTGGAGGGCAATGTAAGACAGTGCCATGCAGAGTCCTGTACCAACTGCTGCATATGGCCTGTGTCTTACATTTGCTGCATAGGTCAACTCAAGACCCAGGGGCAGCAGCAAGGGCCAAGTGACAGAGCTCTACAAGCTGAAACCAGCTTGCAAGCCATAACTCTGACACCCCTGCTTTATATTATGGAGCATGGTTTTTTTCCTAGGATAATCTGATATTATATTAGATTATATACTCGCCAGTTACTTCCCTGTAGTTGCAAGAGCAGGGGACTGGCAGTATCTCTCTTTTGCTTTGACGTGAGGTAGGTTATGGATATTCTCTGTGTTTTGCATATTGTGCTTTGTAGTCGTGCACAAGGGTTGCAAGTGGCAATTTTGGACAGACCTTCAGGTAACAATTGCCAGGAGGCCCCTCCTAGTCCTATGCTTCATAACTGCCTTTTAACTGTCTAGTTCTTGAAATGGCATTCATACACCCAAGTCCCTAATACCAAACATGGGAAAGTAAGTGCTTGCATTGATGATTTAGATTTACAACTAGGAACAGGTTAAACTGACAAATGAGTTATCACATACCGATTACACCTGTACCCTCATTTCAGACAAACTCATGGCAATATCTTCTTGTTTTGTACCAAGTTGTTTTGTTCCTTCATTCTAAAACCGTATTGGTCTGAATCAAAAGCAAGGCCTTCGCTTCTGCTCTCACAGTTGCACTGGATAACTCTGATTTGTCTCAGGCCTTCTAAGTGTTTAGAAAGTTTTAGCACTTAACCCTTCCCAGGTTGAAATGAGGCTGTTGGTATATGGAAGGTACAGTCTGAGAATACCTAGTGAACCAAACCCCTAGCAGACTTATGCACAGCAATACCCAATTATGGTTCCCAACAGACTTAAGCATATTAGGTGGCCAGAGGCTCCCAATCCACTGCCCATCCACTCTCCCACCTCTGCCCCTAGCTGGGTCATTCAAGCCTGGAAAGGTTGCCATTCACTGCTCTAAAACATAGCTGGTGCTTGGTTTTGCTGCACCAAATATTAGCACTGAAGCTCATGGTTTTGCCAACTTAAATTTTCTGGCTAGAAATCTTTCACCTGGACTTTCACAAATCTCTCCTGGTAGTTTGCATTACTAAAAACCCAAACACCCAGAATGATGGTGCTTTGTAAGAACCTCAGTTTTTTTTTGGTTTTTTTTTAAATGAAAAGTTTCCGATGCAAAATCCTGGGCTCACTGAAGTCAACGGGAGAACTCCCACTGGATTTAACAGAATCAGGATTTTTATCCCCACTCTCTAGAGCTGAAAGAAGTTTGGAAAATAAATCTGAGTGCACTCTAAAAATTTAGCACAGCAAACAGAAAAGTATGCCAAACTGTTTGTTTTGTTTTTTTAAAGGAAAACGTCTTTTGTTTTAACCCCCAAGTGATGATTTTTTCACTGAGTCATGCTAATGTTACTGCTTCCTTTCTAAGGAAGCAACTGTTTGTAGCAGACTAATAGTTTTTACTCATTTAAATTTAACCCTAGAAAAAACATTCTATACTTTATAAAATGTGAAATCGTTTGAAAAGTAGTCTGTTACTTAATACACCAATTCTTAGTTGATGTGTCCTGACCTTGGATCCCAGGAGTTGCACAAAAGTGCTAATAGAAAAGTTAATTTTGCATTTTATTGACCAATTATAGCAGCAGCTATAATTGTTTTAATTGCTTATACTGCTATTTTTATAATCAATTATTTAGCCATTAAGATAAAGTTAATCTTGTTATGATTTACTTTCCATAATATTTTAATCAGTCATTATTGTTCTGGAATTAACCATCTATTTTAAATTTCCTATTGCTTAGCATAAATATAATTGACCTATTGGTCTCATGATTTTAGAATTTAAATTTAGTATAAGAAGAATGCTTATGTAAAGGTCCGTGGATGTCTGGCATGTTTAAAAGAGGTAATGAAAGAATGAATGATGTATGTATGTGACAGTGTGAGGGAAGACTGTCCTCTCTCAGCAGATGAAAATAGCCTTCTGTGATTTAACAGTTAAAGGCTGCAGCAACATTTAGTCAGCAACTAAGGGTTACCAAATACTAAATCATGCCTTCACCCTGACAGCTGAAGACTACAAGCAACCACCCTGCTGAAGATTGCAGACCAAAAAACGAAAAGATCATGTCCTACCAATCCTAGCCTGCCAACGGGACAAGGAGGGTTACCTTTGTGTCTGACTCAGTGGAATCCATAGGCTTGTATGGCCAGCTATCACTATAAAGAATGAACACAAAGAAAAGGTTTTGGGTCTGTCCACCTGCAAGAAGGAGTTTTGGGCACATCCAACAAGACCTGATTCCATTCCTTGTGGCTGGTCTGGCCGGCCACCAGACTGACCTGAGCAACTTCAGAACTTGGTAACACCTTAACCTCTGCAGGGCTGTCTAACTATCTGCGTGCGTGCTCGTTTCTTTTGTATGAATGAATGAGTATGTATGGGAATGGGTGAAGCAGATAAAACATAAAAGGAATAAAGAACAGTAAGGTTACGTTCCAATAAATGCAGCGTTATGCCTTATCCCCTGATAAGACTCCCGCTTGTTTTTAATTTACACTGTATGCCCTTTGGAATAACACAAACTGTAATTTTTTGGAAAAACTGTAAACTTTAGATATGAAAACACAAAAAGAAAGCATATTCTGAGTCTGGGTATCCTAATTCATTGAATGTACACAATTTAATTAAAAATAGTAATAAAAGTTCTTCCACACTAAAGCTGGTCCACAAAAATCACAAAAGCCTCATTTGAGCATGAACCTCTCAAGCATCTTTTACTGATCTCCCCTGTAGCAGTACACCCTGACTGGTTCATCTCCTGAGCCAAAAAGATGGACTGACTCTGTAAGTAGGTAGGTAGGGATGTTTTTCTGGCCACTGAAGCAGTAGCATTCTGGATCTCGCTTCCAATGAGCCCACGATATTGCCACCTACTCCTGCTGGGATTTAGTTGTTCTCTATAGCCAGCTCCTGAACTACCAATTCCCAATCATTCCTTCAAATCTAGAAGTGGGCAAGGAATGCAAGCACCAGGATACATAGTTTGCATCAAGGAAAAATTCACATGGAACACAGAATGCCTTCATGATTCAGAACAGAGAAGCAGCATAAAAGCTGCTGGCAGCCCTTTTCTCCACCTAAAAAACTATCAGCCATCGAGCGAATCAAGTGTAGAGGGATAATGAGTAGAGGGCCAAATTTAGTGGACTCCAGTTACCCTTAAGGACAGTTTCTAAATAGAAATACCAACCACGGAAGATGTATTTACCAAGGAAATACATGTTTTGACGATCACATATAAATTAAAGTTATAAAAAAAAAAGTGCTGCAAAATTTAGGCTACACCACTTCATAAAAGATGCACCTGAAGTATTCAGTTCTTCTCTCAAGGAAAATGCATTCCAACAGTATATCCACAGATTCTTATAAAACAGTTCCTAATTCTAGTCATAAATTGTATAATTCAAAATTCTACAAAATTCCTTGATCAAAATTACCTTGATATCACGTTTTAGATTGCAACTTTGGTCTTTAGAGTCAGACTGTGTGGTCCTCTTTTCTTTATGCATTTCTTTTGGATCTTGAGAAGTGAATAAATTAGGTTTGGAACAACCAGAGTCTCTAATAAAAAAAATAAAAATTGCGTTTCCAGTGCCGGTTAGTCATACTTAAGATAATATATACAGCATTTAAAAAAGAAAAACAAAAACCACCACAACTTAGGCATGATTAGAAGATTCTGTCATTTAACCCCCATTGAAGACTATGGTAACCATTAATCAAAAACCACCTCTCTAAAAAAACGAAAAAGCAAGCATAAAAACAAAAGAGACAGTACCCCACCCAAAAAATTGAAATGGTAAATTTTGTCAAGAATGTGCATTATTTGGTTCCCATCTATGAATAAACCCTGTCCACCATGCCTTAGCAAATTTTGTCTCAAATACACAAATGGAAAATATGGAGCAAGTTTCTTCTGGTCATTAATTCTTATGGAAAATTAATTTAAATGGTACTACTTTTTTTTTTAAATGGCAGTTGCCATAATACTCAGAAGTGCAACAGTTACACACAATGAATCTTTTAACAAAATTTAGTCTAGATGTTACAGGTTTTTACTACAAATATAGCTCTGCAAACAGCCACCAACGGGAGGGGGGAACCCCTTAAGATTTAAGGGTCTGTACAGTTATCCTGCTCAACATGGATGGAACAAAAACATCCTAGATCTGCCCATGTCCAGATCCAGCCCGTGGCCTGCATGTTGTCAACCCCCTGTTCAATATTAAGCACCATGATGACTTCACATTAACTAGTAATTTTTATAAATTAAAAATAAATGAAATTTGTCTTACTTTCTCTCAAAATGTGGTTTCTTTGGTTTGTGTTTACTTTGTTTGCCACCTGGAGAAATTGTACAGAAAAAGCAATGATCTAGCAACTGAAAAAAAATGTTAAAGGCAAGTTGCAGCTGAGCTGAAGAAATTCTGATGTATTCGGAAAAACGTCTTAGAAACAGGAAAAGTTACCTTTATTTTCTTCTATTTTCTTCCGTAACTTTGTGTTTTGTTGAATAAGATCCTTAAGTCCTTCAGGACTATTCTTGCATAGCTCTTGGGCTCTTTCATTAGCTACCATTGCCTGTTCATGTTCCCCCAGGAGTGAGAGAGCATCACAGAAACGATAGTGACCCTACATATTTTGAATTTAAAAAGTAATTAGTCTCATAAAAAGGAAAATACTAAATCAACCTTCAAGTAAAAGTCCTGACAAATGCAGAACAAAGGTCTTTATAAGACTGATTATTCAAAAATTGCACTAAAAAAGGATTTGCCCTATCAAAGAGGACTAATTATTCATAAATCAATACATCGTCTCTGTTTTCTTCCTAATCCAACCATAACCTTTTACTTGGATAATTATGTAGTTGTCCCCATTTATGCTTCTTCAGTATACTTAATAATGAAGGCCTGGGCATATGAAGCATTATAATATCATATCACACAAAGTTTTTAAAGTGAATCAAATGTTCCCACTCCTTTCTTTATACATAAAAAAAATGCACCTAATAGTATACTAACTCTTATTCCCCACACCCTTTAAAAAAATTCTAAGCCCATGAGAGGATGTTCTGCTTTCACTTAAGCCAAGGAGAGTAGAGAACACTGCCTCTGTAAGAATCAGGGCCTTAGATCAGGTGGGCTAAAGAAAAAGTCATACTACCCTATACTAAAATTTAGTTAAGGGGTGCAGCAAATGGAAACGAAACAATCAGACTATATTCCAGTCTCAGATCCTAAATTTACTGAACACATAAGCCATACCAATATATAAGCAAGGTTTTACATGCAACACTTAACCTTTAAGCAAGCCCTAACAGTCAACACAGATATTCTTACCCGAGCTTTCCAATGGATATATAGAGTTCAGCTGGCCAGGTGTCTGTCATCCCACTGGGGTTTAATTAGTTGTTTTCTTTTTTTCCCCTATGCGTTGCTCTCCCCCAACTTCTAGTATTTTTCCTGCGATTTTTTTTATACATTCTTACAGTTCTCTTCTGTATGTCCCTGATACGGTTATGTCAAAATATCCATTAATCATCTTTCACAGTGGTCATTTTTGTGTTTGGCAGCCGTCTACATTCTGCTGCTTTGGACTGCTAAACCACATCCTATTTTAATTTTTTGCTGAGATGAGTTATAACAAGTCACCCTAGATTGTGACTCACTGGCTTTGCATTTAGTGGCATTAGTTAAGTCAAAGCACAAAATGGCGTTGCTTATGCTAAGCTGGCTGTCAGGCCTACACCCAATATATTTTTGTTGGAACAGTAAGTAGAACTGTCAAATTATATTAAACTAACCTTTGGCCAAGTGGGCTTCAAAATAATGGCCCTTTTTCCATCACCAAGGGCTCTCCTTGAAAGAAATGGAAAAAGAAAGTAAGTATTATTTTTATTTAAGTACTGTTTTATTATTTGTTATTTTTACTGTGGCAATACCTATATACCAGAGCTCAGCTGTGCTAGGCACTGAATACACATAACAAGGAGACAAGCCTTGCTCCAAAGAACTTTTAATCAAAGTTGTGCATAGCAAATTTACATGAGGGAGCAACAAGAAATAATACTTGTTAACCTAAGTACAGCATTACTAGTTCTGAGTTTCACACAGAGTTCATTAGAGACTTTCCACTGAAACAGTTCAATAAAAGTAAATAGATCAAAGAAAGCCTAGGGTAGAACTGGAGGACAGAAAATCCAGACAGTAGTGATAAACAGTACATTCAGTTAAATTTAGAGAGGTGTAGAAAAAGGGAAATTGGACAGTCAAAACAAGTACGATCACTAAATCATGCTTGTATTGTACGTAAAGAGAGTATGAGTACAGGGAGTATGTGCAAGAAGTCAGAGAGGGGTTATGAGACATCAAGAAAGTGTGTGTGATCACCAAGTAGGTAAAAGGATTAGGAGTATAGCATGTGACCTGTAATGTTTTTAGGCCTCAATATTTGCTATGAATTATATGTATTCAAAATGTGTTTATTCTAAAAACATGTACATCTTTCAAGTTCACAATCTCATCTTTTGCAGAATGCCCTTTATGTGAACAGCAATCCAACACACAAGATAAGCAGATTTTCTGAATTGCTCAGCTCTGGGAAAGAGCAGTAAAGATTTATGGCAACACTTACATTTAAAGCTGAATGATAAAGCCTCAGCCCCCTCTTGAGATGCTGGTATAGTTCACATGTATGTCATAGATAGGTTAGCTATCTGTAGACAACTTCTTATCTAGTTCCCTTGATGCTGTGCCACTACCGCTTCAGAAAAATCAAGTCTACATGTTTAAGGCACTGAAACATTATTTTACTAAGTATATTATCAATTTACAATTCATAATTAAAAGGAGACCTCAACATTTCAGATCCTATAAAAAAGGTTTACTTACTTGTATTCTCCAGTGAGAAGAAAACAGAGAGCCCGATTACTGTAAAGAAGATGGTTTTCAGGGCTACAAAGTATAAAAAAAAAAAAAAAAAAAACAAAAAACCAACCCCAAAACATCATTACATGCAAGACAAACAAAATGAATTACCCTAAAGAGCTTTAATTTGTCAAGTAAATCTTGAAAAGTGAAGCAACCACTTCATTTCCTCAATACATTCAAAACTATACATCTAAACAATAATGCAGCTACTTAACTTAATCAAATATCATATTGTTTTCAAGTCAATGCACTATTCACGTTCACCAAGTTAGGCATGTGGTGTAATGATCTGCAGGTTCTGGGCCCACGTATGCATCTCAGCCAAATCAAACTACTCATTTCAAAAGTCAAACTAGAAGAATTAAGAAAGGTCTAAAATACCTAACCCCTGCCACCTTTTCCTTAAGTAAGTACTAGAAGCAATTCATACCTAATTTGTGGATTAACTGTTGATTCTGGCTCAGCTGAAATCTCTATGCAGCAGATTAATATTGAATATTGTGTTTTACTTGAAAGAGAAAAACTAGCCTTAAGTTCTAGATCACAATGTCAAACATATAGCCCACAGTTTAGATCAGAGGTCACCAACCAGTCAATCTTGATCAACTGGTCGACTGTGGAGCTTCTGACAGTCTCTCAGTCTGTCAGAGGCTCCACAATCAGGAGCAGCAGGACTCATGTGGCTGGGCTGAGCCACGCCCCCTGCCACCCGGGCTGGGCAAGTGGGGTCAGAGCCCTGGCAGCTTGTCCAGGAGGCGGGACGCAGGTAGTGCAGTAGATACTGGGGTGCCAAAAAGTGATCTTCACCATAAAAAGGTTGAAGACCACTGGTTTAGATCTAGCTGGCTAGATCTCCTCAGAGAGCTAAAAATTGAGGGGCAGGGCAAGAAGGGGCAAGGCCTGCCACCAAAATGCAAGGGTACAGTATCAGTGGCAAAAGGGAGTAACAGATGCATTAACCTTTACAGTCCTGATTCTGCTCACCACATGTCTCAAATAGAACGAGGTAGATATTTTGGCAACCCAATGTTTCGTGGCAAGTTCATAATATGTCAGTATTATAGACTAAATACTGTATTTGCACAAACATTTGCTTTCATTTTACGTACACTGTTTCCTCCTATAAAAACATGCCTGTGAAATAGTTTCCAAATGCTTTTATGATAAACTGCCTACACCAAAGAATTAACAAAAAAGATCCCATTATCATGTCTACCAGTTGTTATCAACACTGAGATTCCTAGTATAGGAGGCTGTCATTCTTAATGGCATTTTTTGTTTTGTTTTGGTTTTTAGTCGTTGTGTGTTCTGTTTTCCTGCTGTTGGCAAGGCTAAACACTTACCATACTGAAGGCTACTGTGTAAGGCAGAAGAGTCATTTACTTTAAAATTTGTCTTGAATTGGTGTAATATTTTGGGATTTTTTGTAAAAATTCATTTACCCTTTCCTGTATTAATGTCTTATACAAAAGAACATACAATGTACAGCACAAAATTGCTAAACTTAAAGCATGTTCTTAGGTATCTCATCTTCAGGGATCCAGGTTCTGTTTCCCATGGAAAAAATGTGGATTTTCCCTTTTAACTAAGAAAAACATGGATTTCTCATTTTAGCAGAGAATTACATGAATTTCCCACTTTTGCAAAGAGCTCTCTGCAGGCTGGCAGAGTTCCAACCTGCAGGGGGCTGGGGGGGTCATGCGGGGGGGGGGCATGTGCATGTACATGGCCACCAGACAGCCTGGAGAGGCCCTCCTGGGGGGGGGGATTGAGGACCCCATAGGGAGGACAGAGTTGGGCAGGGCTGGAGCTGTTGCCCAGAATGCACAGCTGCAGGGCCCGGGCAGGGAGTGTGAGAGAGCAGCGGGCGGCTTATCCAGGGGGCTGCACAAGGGAGGGGGGGCGTTCCCTGTTGCTATGCGCATTCCAGGAAGGAAGGGGGGCATGTGCCCCACAGATCTGTGCAGTGTGGGGGCAGGGGCAAGCTGTCTGCTGTGGACTTGGACTCCCCGCCCGACTGCCCTCCCCCACCCAGGGCCTCCAGGGCCCAGCAGGCTGGATCCAGCAGAGCAGAGCACAGCAGGACTGGGCAGGAAAGCTCCGCGCTGCTGTGAGCCCTGCGCTGCCCTGGTGAAGCTCCCCCCGCCCACCCGGCTGCAGCGGGGGCAGCGTGGCAGAGTTGTGCCCCTCACTACTACCAAATGGGCACCTTGTCAGGGTGGCACAGTGCTCGCAGCAGCAAGGAGCTTCCCTGCCTGTCCCCATTCTCCCCTGTTGCACCAGGTCCCACCCACTGAGCTGCAGAGGCCCCTGCGGGGAAGGCAGCAGGGCAGGGGGCCCCAAGTCCAGACATGCCTAGCCTCCTCCCCCCATGGGGTCTGCTCTGGCTGTGCTGCCTATGGAGGAGGGGGAGCAGGGCTCGACGTTGTTCTCCCTGCTCGAGCTGTGGGACTCGAGCACTGCTGAAGGGGTCAAAGGGATGTGGCGCTGCGTCCCTAGCCCCATAGCCCTGGCAGCTAGGAGCCCCTCTGGCAGGTTTGGAGGGGCAGCGGAGTAAGGGACCTGGACCTGTGTCCTGGTGAGTGAAGGGGGGGGGGGGGGGAGGGAGATCTGATTTTCCATGATAAAAACCCAAAAATCAAATGGCAAAATGTATAGGTATCTAGAATTTATTTTATTATAGTGATTAAGACACTGGTAAGCTTCCAAATTGCTTTTAAATTGTAAATATATCAAGAAAATAGTGTTCAGCTGATACCTATATACACGGTGGTGTTTCATTTTAATCATGGATTTTGGATTTTTAAATCAGAGAATTTGTGATTTTTTTGTTTTTTAATTTAGAGAAAACCAGGATCCCTGCTGATCTTTAACCAGGGAGAGACAAACAAACCAGTACAATCCTAAAAAAGTTGAAAGTGCAAAATATAAAAGTCATCCAGCTACTTGAATTTGTTCTTACCAATATTCTATGGCTTTAGTGTAGAAGATTATAGCATAGTGCCAGTTCCTTTGGGAAAACTCACTATTTCCTCGTTTTTTCATAAATTCACTTTCCTGTAAGGTTAAGAAAAGAAAAAAAAACACAAACATATAGCCAGTCAGAATTTAACTCAGCTATCATGAAAAATACAAAGGGCATTAAATGATAAGCCTCCTGTCTGCTTGTATAGGGAATGCTGAGTGTACTCATAATTGATTTAAGGGTAGAGTAATAATCCAAACTCTATTTGTGGAACTGAAATGAAAAACTGTTCCACTTCTTACACTGCAAATACTGTCAACTTCTCACTCACTTTGCTTAAGCAGGGAGAATTGATTAGTCCCAGGGTCAGAAGCATATCGCATGTGAAGCTAGGCAGGCTTCAGTGGCTCTGACAGGAGGGGCTTTTGCCGACACCCATCCTGGGGCCAGGCAACGAGGAGCTGCATCAAGGATGGAGAGTTGGGAGCTGTGCCCATGCTGCTGCCTCTTTTCCCTGCTCTCTGGCTGCATTGCCAGTGTAGCTTCCAGCTGCCTGGCTCAGGCCTGGGCAAAGCCTCCTAGTCCACATCAAACTGGAGCCAGGTTTCTCCAGGAAACAGACTAGAAATTTTAAATCAGCCACCAAACTGAGCTGCTTCAACTTGTATCAAATGGCCTTGGTCAATTAAGGGACCAGGCCAGGGGGAAGAGATGGAACACAACCAACCCATTCAACATGTCCCCTGCACTAGAAAAAGTGTTGGAGCAGACACGTACAGGAGCACCTAAGAGGCACAGATTAGAACAAAGAATCCAGCCTTAAAGTACGGACTTGAGCTTTCTGGAAAAGACGTATGGCCCTCATGGATGAACAGGGTAGACATTGTAAAAAATAATATTTCATTTATTAGGGTATGATCCTGTGAGTGTTACTGTCTGGCCAGCTACTTCCATATAGATTTCTAAAAGTTCCAACTATCCCAAACTACTTTCTGCTTAAAAAAAAAAAAAAAAAAAAAATGCACAGTACTTCAGAGCTTTGTCCTACCTTTTTACAGTTTTCACAACTTTGAGCTTCGAACTCTTCAACTAAGTTGCAATCTTCCAATGCAACCCTAGTTATATGATTTTTGCCTGTATGCAGAAATAGGACAAAAAGAAAACCCAAGTGATTAAGACAAGAAATTAGGTTTCTTACATATAATTATAATAATCTAAAAAATAATAATCTCATAATTTTGAGATACCTAAACTAAGTTTATCAAATCGGCAAACTTCTGGTTATTAAATGTGAACTGTACTTTTTGGAAAATGCTTCTTTATAGTTAAATATAAACCAACTGTTTTCTTCAAAGATGAAAAAAAAAAGTTGACCTGCCTTATTTCCTTTACTTGTTGTTTTTGGAATAGAATAAAAGAAAAAAAAAATACTGGCTAATTCTATCTCAAAAGGGAAAAAGGCACTACAACCAAAGAAAGAATCAAATTCCAAGGTTAGTGAGGGCAGAATAGCAAATGTTTATTTTTTCTACAGCAGAAAATGTTGCATCAGTGACAGCTGCAGCAACAGGCATATTAAACCCCAGAGAAAAAAACCCAGACATCTCAAAGAAAAAAAGTACAAAACTCTGTTTTCAGATGTAGACCAACTGACAAAAATTGAAGGAAAAAAACCATACGCAGCCCATGACCCAGACTCTCAGTACCACATACAACTGTGGGTCCAGTTCCAGGCTTGCCCCAGGGGCTAGTGTGTACTGTGTGCAGTGTGTCAGCTGAACGCAGAGTTGGGTGGGGGGGAGAAAAAGCAGAGGTCCGGGGGAAGGCAGAGGGAATATGGGGTCAGTTGCAGCCTATCATGCAGACTGGCTCAGGGATGCACATCCAAGCCTACCACCTCTGATTCTAGGAGCCACATGCAATCCATAATAGGCGTTGTTGATTAAAAGACTTCAAACACCTGTACAGAAGCAGCATGCATTATTTTAGTGGCATCCATATGTGCAAAGACTTAGAGTAACTGCTCTAAACTGAAAATCATTCTACATTTTTCTGGGTGCTTCAACCAGTTCAGACTTCTAAGAAACATACAGGATGCAGACAAACTACTTTACAACTAGTTGTTGTTCTAAAAAATGTTTATACTTACATTCAGCAAAGAAAACTTCGAGGGGAGGCCAACAGTAATCACCAAGCTTTTTTAACTTCTCTAGAACACTGAATTCACCTGTGTATTTTACCCAGTCGAGGGCATCCCCAACATCAAAGACTTTCTTTCAAAAAGAAGGGAGAAATTAGAGTCAGCAGCTAGACTTAGTGTATCCCATGAGAGAAAAATCACCTAAATTGTTTGCAACATAATATAAAAGCAACAAACGTATACAATTTCTGTAACATGGTTGCACAATGTAGCTTCTATCTCATAAATGAGAGGCAAGGGCAATCTGTCTGCTGCCTGGGCTGTTGCCCGCAAAACTAAGTGCAACAGTTCACAAACACTTCACTTCCGTAGACCACATCGGTCCAGGCACCAAAAAAAAGCTGAGGGAGGATCTCTCTGCTTTATACAACACACACAATAAAACATTATTTCTGCACGTAAAATACTGTCAAAGAAACCATCAGTGGTTTCTGGGACAATCTTGGTATGTGTTTTTTGCCCCGATTACTAAGCCAGCTAGGATTTACTGATGCATAAACTCCATTTTTATAATTACTTCATAGTCCAGCAAGCATGTAATGCTTGATTCCCACCATACAGTTTCTGAATACCATTCAAGTCATAGGGTTTGATCTATAAAATGTTTCATGGTTTCCAACTATAAAAATGGAGGCAGCATGTAACAAGAAACCTGACTCTTAAGATTCTTATATCTGTAGACAGGGTGATGAAAGTGGAGAGATCTTGATTCTTAAATATATTTTGGTGTCTTTGTACCTAGAAACCCAAGCTGTTTAATCTACTAACCATGTCCCAAAGCTTCTTCTGAAACAATGGGATTAAGCATAGAATGTCTGTTGCCTTGGATATGCTTTTACCTCTTAAACAAATTTTGTCAACTTAGAGTGTTGTTGTGTATTTAAATCCATGCCCTTTGAGACACAATGACACTTAGATAAAATACAAGCAATAAGGCATATGTGCCTATTCCATTTCTCCTGCTATTAAAAGCAACTATAATATGGGTCTTCAAAACATCAATAATTTATTCTGAATATTACTTGCACAAGATGTCAAACTGGAAAAATACTTGGAAGTGACATGCAAAAGAAAAAGGACATCCAGGCAACAAAAGCCCGAGAATTAGTCTTCCAAGAAGCAAGTTCTGTACCAACCAATGATTCCAGCTTTCACATACTCATGTAACATGAATTTAACAAACAATAGCTTTAGCCATCTTAAAAGGGAAGAGTTCTACAGTAAAAGCTGTGTTATCTGGCACTTGATTAACCGGCATGCTCTATTAACCAGCATGCCAGCTGATGCGGCAAAAGTGAAAACGGAAGTTCTGCTTCTGGTTTCGCTGAGTCCCACTTCGGGCCACGGCAAATTTATTGATAAATTAATAAAGTTTACATGTAATCCAGTATGACTGGAAGGGACTGTTCTCTCTAGGATGTACACGGCAGGAGGCATGGGAAGGGCAGCACGGTGCCTGTCCTCTGGCACACTGATGCACCAGATGCATCAGGAGGCAGGCAAAGATGCCTCTGAGGTAACTGGCATATTTGGTTATCCGGCACACCCCATTTCCCATGGGTGCCAGATACAGAGCTTTTGCTGTATTTGTATTGATACATACATAAAAAAAAAATTAAGAAAGAAGTTGAACCAACTTACATTTTCTATTCTTGTACCAATTCTTAATATGCCATTGATAAAAAATGGATCATTCTGGAAGAGAAAAGAGCACACAAAAGGAAGTTACAAGGACCTTCCTCCCTAGCTATATGGATTTGATTTTGTTTTCTTTTTCAATTCAGAATGACTCTTTTGGTTAAAGTTCAACTGAATGGCTTTTTCTACAGCAAGATAAATTTAGACTTTGCTTCTGATTTACTCCAAAAATTTCAGGAAGTCTTCTATTGACATAAGTAAATAGCAGGGAAAATTACAGCTGAAGAGGGACACATGGGATATATATACAAAGTACAACACCATGACATGCAGCTAGCTTTAGTTTAAGTACTACAAGCAGTACAGGCATGGTAGGGCAGCTCTCCACCAATGCTAATATACCCACTTTCTCAACTGGGCTAATTAGCAAAGGCTAAAAGCCTTGCTGTCATAGCTGTACTCTTTCCAGTAGCTCATTTATGTGAGATCTGCAGTTTACTGCACTGTGTTATGTAGACATACCCATAGAACCCACCTATGCGTTTAGACAAGCTAGGAGCTTCAACAATCTCTGCAACAGTCTGTATGTAAAAAAAACAATTGATGGCAGCCATTAAAACCTTTCAACATATCAACTCTGTTTATCTCCCAATACAGTTTACGGACAATGACTCATCTGATTGTGGGAACCAGGTAAATGGTGATGCACATAAAACTGTGATAAAAAGGTACCCAAATATGGAAGAAAAGGAAAATGAAGGAGCACACCCCCTCTTGAGGAGGGAATGGGACCCTTGACATTTGAGAGGAGCTGGGAAAATGCACAGAGTTTCTGAAATAAAAGGAAATGAAATGGTGCACACGGAAAACTTAAGGGAAAGTGGCATAAATAATGAGAAAAAGGAACCCCAAGTATGTGAAATGCATTCAACTTACAAAAGCAAAATATCTATTTATGAAATGCCATTTAATAGCAGAGTGGACCAGCAAAATTCCATTTTGGGTTGAACAAATGATCCATTTCAGTGGATAACAAACAGATCTTAAAAAAAAAAAAAAAAAAAAAAAAAAAAAAAAAAAAAAAAAAAATCAAGAAACCCAAAGAATAAGGCATCTAAACTGGGGTATTAAAGAGTACATCTTTTTCCCTTTCCACCCTCAGTTTTCTTTGCTTATTTCCTTCCTACTTTATTTTGGCATCTTCTACTGTTACACTATTGTTTTGGACACACTATTAGCCAAAGAGTTTTCAAACAACAACTTATTATTGAGCACAGACAAAATGAAAATGGTCACAAAGAAAGTTCTTTTAATTCAGTGTGCAGGGGAGGAGGATCATTTATCTCACCGACATGATTATATCATCATCGGTACTGCAGTAGTCTTTAAAGGCCCCAACCAGACATCAGAGCCTATTGTTATGCACCATGCAAACATATACCATATTTTCAAATGCACAACGTAACTTCTCCCCCACCCAAAAAAAAAATGGCTGGAGATTGGGGTGCATATTTTAAGCAAACAAATATGGTAACAACAGCTTCTGCAGCATGAGCCTCTGCTGGGAAAAGAGAAAGTAACAGTGAACATAAGGCAGCAAAGAGAGCATGTGGGGCTCCGTACTAGCTGCTGGCTGTGGACAATAGGAGCCCTGCATGCTCGCTGTGTAAGGAGCACGTTAGAGGCTTTGGCATAAGTACCTCCATCTTGCCTATATCCTCCATTACGTAAAGATTGGAACTGTATGTTGTTGCTGTAAACGTGCAACTAAACAACAGACATTTGGGGTTAAGCTGCAGAAGTGTGGTTAAAAGCAGAATGGGCCAAAAAATATTTGTGAATGCCTGCAACAAGACCCTTTGCAGACAATTTGTTTGGTCAGAAAAGGAAAGAAAGCAGTTAACATGTCCAACTGAAACAGCTCACATTACACAGAGCACAAGATTTTAGATTAGATGGGATAATCTAAACATACCATATTATAGTTTACACATTAGTAGGAATAATTAACATAACACCAAATGTTAAACCAAATATATTAGATCTAATTTAGGGTTAACAGATGGATGCGTGTTTGATTTCTTAGTTTCTCTTGGTGAAGGAAAGAGATAAGGAATCCTTCCTTTCAGAAGCGTAACTGTGACAGAAATATAAATCTCTATGGGCTTTATCTCCCCATGGAAAATGTCAACTAATTGACACTTTCCATGTCCACAGCAGAACTGGTTATATCCAGCTCCAAAAGTTTTAGTGAAACAGAAATATAAACATATAAGATTAAATGCAAATCATTAGTGCTTATATATCTGTGGTTGTAAACCTGCAGAGTTTGGGGAATAATGGGCCTCAGTTGCTGGGGGACCTGAACAACTAACAAGAGCTCAAAGATCCTGTGGTCTGGCCTATACCTTATCCTCCCAGGTACAAGTATGTTTTTGCATTTCCACTGCCTGATCTAAATGCTAGTTCAACTTGTTTAGTTTACAATACAGTGATTGCCTTGAGAAGAGACAGACACACTCAATCTTCATTTTAGGGCCCCATTTGGCAAAACAAGTCCCCTTTGCCCTAATTTGGGGATAGAGAGCTTCTCTTCACAATGCACTGTCCATGTGCAGCAATGCTTTCCCCTTCCTATGGCAGGGGCTTGTGCTGCAGAGACTGCTACTAATTCAGTAAAAGCCTCTGCCTCAGCACCCAGGACTCAGCTCCACTGTATTTCTAAAGCAAAGCCAAGCTTTGGGTGCTAGAGCAGAGGCTCCAGTTGGGCTGGCCCTCAGCTGACTTGACAGGTGCTGCTATCTGCCCACCAAGCTCAACTCAGGAAGCTTGGCTCAGACAGCAGCACCTCTGGCAGCCTCCAGCTAGGGGGTTAACAGAGGGGCCACAATGTTCTGCACCCTGCCCCACCAGTAGCTGCCTGTTTTTTCCCTGGGGAAATACCACGCACACCAGTATTATCAAGAAAAGAGCTTTTATTTTTCCATCCCGCCTTTCAAAAGCAAAGTGTTTATCTTGTTCAGGCCATGTGGTGTGCAAGAAAGTTTTGTAACGAGAACCATCATCCCTGCTCTAATTCAGTCCCTGGAGCCAGTTTTCTTGCATATATCAGGAAACTGCTGTACTTCCCTTACATAAAACTGTCATAGGTTGACAGTCTGCTGGGCTGTACTATCTATTCAACCTGATAAAAACAATTCTCTTCTGCTCACCTAATGTATACTGAAAATTTGTGTTACAGCAAGGTACTAATTAAGCAGTTTATCACATGCAGAAGTACATACAAGTTAACACACACTACTTACCACAACTTTCTTAGCTAAATCAACAATGTCTTCCAGAACCTCGATGTGCCAGAGTCTTTTCAAACTTAGTTCACACAGATGGGAACCACTTAAATGAAAACATTTTTTGCATTAGAAAGGTCATAAATATGACACCACATATGACACCAGCCCCTATTCCATGGCTTTAGCTTCTAATACAGTACTTGCATTACATATAAAACAAGACAGTGGTTAAAACCTTAGGACAAGCTCTTAAACATGGGTAAATTAACAGAAACTGCTGTGTGTTCAGCAGTTTAAAAAAAAAAAAAAAAAAAAAATCAGACTGCTGATTTAAGCATCAAAATACAGATTTTAGAGAATCTTCAGACAGTTTTTTTCTGATAAATTTGTCCCTGATGTTTAGAAATAAAGCTTCTTCATTTATATCTCGTATTACTCGTGGACAGCCTGGGGCATTAATACAGGCATCTTTAATACTCCTATATCCAAACTATACTTTCCCTA